GTGTGTGTGATCTCACCTCTCACACTGGCCACGGGGATGACCCTGCCCTCCATCATGTCGTAGATGTAGAAGAGTTTATTCCTCATGCCTGTGGCCACGATCTGCTCTCCGTCAGCGCTGAACGCAGCTCTCCGCACCGGGAACTTCTCCAGGTGCACCGTCTGGATCTTTGGGTTACTCTTCCCATCCACCTGTGCAGGAGAGGAGCAGCAGTGAGGAGATGAACACACACACACACACACACACACACACACACGCACACACACGCACACACACTTCTATAACAATGACAGTGGATCATGATCCAGATGCAGACCCAGAGCTCAGTGTTCTGGAACAGCAGGGTTCTGCACATTCACCAACCCAAATAAAGGCCTCATGAAGACCAGGCAGATGAACACACACACACACACACACACACACACACACACACACACACACACACACACACACACACACACTTCCATAACAATGACAGCGGATCATCATCCAGAAGCAGACCCAGAGCTCAGTGTTCTGGAACAGCAGGGTTCTGCACATTCACCAACCCAAATAAAGGCCTCATGAAGACCAGGCAGATGAACTCAGACCCATATGAAGCTCTGGTCAGATCACGTCTCGATTTCGGCATGATTTGCTTGGTGTGGGGTGTCGTGGGGAGTCGTACCGTCGTGAACCGTCTCTTCTCCTGTAATGTGGCCCAGTTCAGCACTGATCTCCAGCCTGTGACGTCTCCCCACCGCAGCGCAGAGTCCGGCCGGATTCATTTGCTCCTGCTGCTTCATCGTGAGCTCCGTCTCGTGGGGGACGCTGGGCAGGCGGAGCTCATCCTCTCTGGGTTCTCTCAGCAGCGATCATCAGGCTGCAGGTTTACTCATGAGCGGGTCACGGCTGGAGGAGATCAGCCATCGCTTCTGCAGACTTTACCTGCCTCTTCTCCAACATTTCCAGCAGTGTTCTCTTCACACACATGCAGACGTCTCCATCTCACAGCGAGTGTCTGAGCTCTCGTCCTCCAGCAGTGTTGCTCAGAGGTGATGTGGGAATGCTCAGTGCTGTGAACACTGCTGAAGCCTGTCCTGCTGATTCAGACGTGTCATTAACAGGTTCATATCGGCGTCTCCGACACCCTCAGCTCATTCAGGCCAGACTAATAATAAACCAACACAAACTCACAGCAGGTCCACAGCAGACTGGTGCAGGGGCGCTTCAGCTGTTATGGGTCACTCCTGCTATTGATGACCCACAGCACACGCATTACAATCAAGATAAATATTCCAGCAGAGCAGTTCAGTTCACACAGACATTTTGCCAATAAAAATCCACGAACTCTACGCATGCTTGCGCCCGGCCAATGCTCCGCTACACGGGTGGAGGACGAGTCCGGCTCAGAGCAAATGTGATGAAGCTTCAGTGTGAATGTGCCGCAGTGCTGATGTGCTGTCATCTCCAGTTCAGGCCGGGGAGAGTTTAATAAGAAGCCCTGACGGAGACTGCAGATCAGAGAATATCCTGATATTAAAGTGATGGTGAGTTTGATCCGGTCCATGTCGTGAGGAATGCCCTTAAATACTGTAGAGACCAGTGGCCAACCAGAACAAATGTGCACCTGCCTGATCAAAAAGCTAAAGCTAAAGCGTTATTTCCTGTACTCTATATTATAAATGCTCTGTCGAAGCCAGCAGACGCTCTGCACACCCACACTGCTCAAAGGCTGAGGTGAGCCCAGCTGGAGTGCAGCAGAGGAACCGGGTCAGGCTGAAGCTCTCCTGCAGATCTGCTGTTGGCGATGGCATGTGTGTTGCTGCACATTCACTCATTTCCCTTCAGTTTAGTCCCTGATTAATAAGAGGTCGCCACAGCGGAATGAACCGCCAACAACTCTGACATATGTTTTACACAGTGGATTCCCGTCCAGCTGCAACCCAGCACTGGGAGAGGAATAAACAAGTGAAATGAAGACCCGTTTAGCCCGATTTAAGACCTGCGGCACAACATTACAGTCAACTGAAGACATCTTAACCCTGCAGCCTACCTGGAAGAGCGAGACGCAGTGGTCCAGCCCGGCCGTCATCACGATCTGAGCCGACGGGTGAAACTGCACTGAGGTCAGCTGAGCCTCAGACACACACTCGCTATTGGCATTCACACACTTCTTTATCTGAAACAGACAGACACTGTCAGAGCACACACACGCACACACGCACGCACGCACTCACTCACGCACACACACACACACATATAAGTGCAGAGGCACGCACACGCACGCACGCACGCACGCACGCACACACACACACACACACACACACACACACACACACACACACACACACACACACACACACACACACACTCTAGGCACAGCAGAGAGGCAGTTTACAGCTTGTATAAAGAATAGCTCTCTTTTAAATCAATAATCAATAAATCACTAAATGGTGAGCATTTAATGGCACAGTAACTCTGACATGACTGGGATGTGCACATGACACTGAAAAACAAGCATCTTCACTCATTTTGAAAAATTTTCATTTTGTAAATGAAAGGCTAGTAGCTAACACTTTAGTTTAATTAATGATGTTCACAGTTATCTCGTGCCTCATTGCTGGACTCATATGCAATCTGCACGTGTGGAAATCCACAGATTTCTGCTGATTATTTTAGCCGGTGAAGATATGTGCAATATATATTTATCCCCTTTCATATTCATTTCAGTGATGTTACTGACTAATATGCCGATGTTTATACTGTAGTGTGAAACATGTGCTGGATAAGTTGGCGGTTCATTCCGCTGTGGCGAGCCCTGATTAATAATGGACTAAGCCGAAAAGCAAATAATTGAATGAATGAATGAAAGTCTGGCCCTGGATGATCCTGATTGGTGCGTCTCCTCACGTGATGCTGGCCTGTGTTGGCAGCGTTCTGCGGCTGGATCTGACCGTGGGCTTCTTGAGTTTCTTTCTCAGGAGTGTCAGGTTTTCAGATCTCTCTCTCTGAAGCTCGGAGCGCTCGCACACACACTGAGAAGGCTTTCATCTGGCTGATCGGGGCAGATATAGATGCTGTAACAGAGGTCAGAGTGCTGACAGGAGAACACACACACCAGTCCGCTTTCTCAGGACCGTTATTACAGGAACATCGCAGGTTAAACACTCAGACCCCCACAGCTCCAGGCCCCCCTAACC